CTCTGCAGGACCTTCGGAGTGTGCAGGACAGACCTCCCTTGCCCAGGGCAGCTCATGGCTGTGTGGCATGCAGGAGGCTGTGGGCCTCTCCCCAAAAAACTATTTTGGATCCATGGGTATCAATAAGCTTGTCCAATTAGTTTCTCAAAGTCTGGATTTTTAATGTTATTCTATGCTTTCCCCAGAACTAAACTCAGGCTGTGTGCCAGGAAGCCAGTGGAAGTATTGCCCATCTCTAGCCGCTGGAGATACTCCCCAGATTTCCATTGATGGCCCCGTTTGACAAATTGACAGAGGCTTGACCTGGCACCCTTTCTGACATTGGCACTTTAGGTGGGAGAAGGTGGGGGAAGGACTGGAACCCGAGAGCACAGGCAGGTCTGGGAAGGGGCTGTTTGGAGGGGGCCCCCTGGGAGCAGCAGCAGGAGGGGACAGCTGAGGTTCCCTGAACCTTGTAGCTCAGCACACTGCAGACTGAAGGCCAAGGTCAGCTGTCACCTGTGGTAGGAAGAGTTTTGTGCCATTGGCTAACACAGTGCCAGAGGCTGCTTTCGACTAGCAGCACCAGAGTCCAGGGTTGCAAACCAGACTTTGGAGCTTGCAAAAGCAAAAATGTTGACCACCTGCCTCTTTTTAGAACCAGCTTGAATGCCTGCTAATAGGCCACAGACAGTTCAAATTTACCTTTTGGTCATCACACCATGATTGACAAAAAGAGGCCTGAAAGAAGGAGTGGAGTTTCAAGATCATGATGAATTCTTTCTCTTGCTTCGTTTAGAAAATTGCTTCAAATGTATGAAACTGCATACCAGGTAGTCACTGGGTTAAGCTCTTCTTAATTCACACATTAGGGTTTCTCCGTTTCCCACTTTTGGTTCTTTAAAGAATTGTGCGTGGAAGAGGAACCTGCCACGTAGGCCGCTACAGGCGGCCATGCTGCCCAGCCGATTCCCATGGTGCCCTGGCAGGCAGCATCCCTGCTCCCCTCCGATGGTAGATGCTCTGTGCCCTTACCAGGCACTGTCCACCTGCTCACGGACAGCGTGAGCGAGGAAGAGGTCCCAGGTCTTGGTAGGAAGGCAAGTACTAGTAGCTTCACAGAGTTAGGGGGACGCGTCCGCCAGGCAAGTGTTAACTGACTAGCTTATACAGAGACCCAGGCCTGAATATTAAATAAAACGTTTGCTTATCCATTATGGAGCTCAAAACCAAGCCTTTAATAAAGATTCCCCTGATTGAAAAGCAAGCAAAATGTTCCAACTTAATTGCGCATTATTGTGTGTTATTAACAAAAGCCAAAGGGACTTCTTTGTCATTTGGATTTGGGGACATCTTTTCCTTAGGGACTTGAGGGCTGTTGGTGGGAATTAGTGAACGTGGCAGGTGATGGGGACTCTGGGGGAAGTGTGCTGCTCTGTCACAGGACGGCTCTTCTTCCAGGTCCAGCCTTGCTCCCGCCCTGACCGTGCCTAGGATGCGACTGGTGATGGAGGACCCACCCCTGGGTCTACTGGACCAGGAAGCAGACAGTGTGGTCAACAAGGCTGATGCCAGTGGCCACGGGCCCTGAGGAGGGGGACCTGGCCCTGCGTAGATTCCTGCCAATACCCTTGAGGTCAGCTCCACCCCACGAGCAGGTGTCCCCTCACAGAAATGCTGAGCCTCTGGTTCCTCAACCCTTTCTTGTTTCAAGAGTGTGAAAATTGCTTCTATTTTGTAAACATCTCCATTTTCTTTATTCAGCTACAACTTGTTCCTGTGCTTTTTGGGCTTCCGCAACATATGGTCAGCTCTGACTGGCCACTGTCATTTCTTCTGTCCTCTATTTCTATCAATCATATGAAAACTGGTCTTGCTGTCATTTTAGAGTGGTATATATAAAAAAAAAAGTAGTCCTAACTGTCATGTGCAAGGTAAAGCGAGTACTTACTTTTCGTTTTGATTTTGAGACGTACAGCGGGCAGTTCCGTGTTGTCACGGGCACTTTCCTCACCTCTGGTCTCTTTCCTGCTGGTCTGTTCAGTCCCACATCTGATCCGTCAGAAGCTGTCCACTGACCAGTCCAACTGGTCCATCTGTGACCTTCAGCTAAAGTCACGGTGGACAGAGCAAAGGACTAAATTGCTCTCTTTCAAAGTAGTTAATGAATCTAAGGGTGAGGAAAGACTTCATAGTCGTTGTATGTAGATTAAAATCCAAAGTTTGTGGAATGCTGATTACGTCACCATTTTCTCTGCTGAGACTAAAAGATCTGACCAGAGCAATTGTAGAAGAGGAAAAGTTTATTTAGGAGCTCACAGTTTCAGAGCTCCTAATAGACAGCAGGCTCCCTCCTGGGAGCTCAAGGTGAGACAGAACTTCATGGTGGCAGAGGGTGGCAGAGGGAAGCAGCTCACGTGACACAGAGACAGAGACTCCGCTTGCCAGAATCAAAATATATTTTGTATATATGTATACAAAAGGCACACCCCTAGTGACCCACCTCCTCTAGCCACACCCCACCTGCCCTCAGTTTCCACAGGTTAACCCCTTAAGGGGTATCGATTCACTGATGGGGTCAAGGCTCTCACAACCCAATCCTTTTGCCATTAAGCCTTCTTGCAGTGTCGCACACATGAGCTTTTGAAGACACCTCACACCCACACTATAACAAATGCCTCCTGTGTCACCTTATAAGTCTTTGAAGTCAAAAAGTTTTCACCTCTAATTGAGATGGCACATGTCATATACCTAAGATCTTGGTTTGGGATGTGGCTCAGTGGTAGATCACTTGCAGCATGTACAAGGCTCTGGCCTCCATCCTTAGCACTGAAACTAAACAAAGCCATCAGATTGTTTCATGATTATGCAGGTAGGTGATTCCTAAAAATACTAGGTCCTTCACATCCCCAATCTCCCCAAAGGAAATAAGTCATAACAGGAAAATGAACGACAATTAATTTGAACTGAACTTCAAATAATTGCATCTGATTTTTTAAAAATATGTTTTAGTTGTTGATGGACACAGTAACTTCATTTTATTTATTAATTTTCATGTGTTGCTGAGGATAGAACCCAGTGCCTCACACTTGCAAGGCAAGCGCTCGGCCACGGAGCCACAATCCCAGCCCTGCATTTGATTTTCACGTATTCCACCCTTCCTTCTACTCTTGGGAACTGAGTCTTTTTGCTGCTATTGCTTTAAATTTTAGGCATTGCCTCACAAACGCTTTGGAACCTGAAAATAGGACCAACCCTTCATGGAATGATACAGGTATGCGTCCCCATAGAGGACATGGCTAGGGCAGCTGGAAGTGAACCCAACCCTCCCAACATGGCTCTGAATCTGAATCTCTTAATTCTTGAAGCGTGAATGCCATTTTGGTAATAGAGCCCCAGGAAAATCAACAGAGATGACATTTTCAAAAGTTCTTTGTGAGGTGGATAATTGCAGAGCAAGGCACAGGAAGTACAGGAGAAGCCCAGAACAGCCTTCTGTTTTTAATTTTCTTTATTTTTGTGGTGCTGGAGATGGAACCCAGGGCTTTGTGCAGCCAGGCAAGCACATCCTTGCTGAGCCGCACCCCAATTCTAGAGCACCCTTCTGCCCTGGGAAGTGGTGGCGTGTTCAAGAGAAGGATTAGGGTGCATCTCAGAGGCTCAGACTGAGCTGAAAGGGGCTCCAACTAAAATATTTGGAGTAATTTCTAGACAAATTGCATTGAGGGTGAGGCTGTGGATCTGGGAGGACCCAGCTAGTCTGTATCGGAGCTCAGTGCAGTGTGAGGTGTTGCATTCACTTGGCCAACGCCTGGTCCTTCCTAGCAATCACTCCCTTCTACGGCAGCCTAAGTGATGCTGTAAGGAATGGAACACATTCATGCAAGGGAACAACACGTGTCCAGAGGTGCCTGGAGTCCTGGAGTCCGTGGATCATGGCATGGTCATCTGCAGACTGGACGCACTCAATCCTGAGGCCGCTGATGCCCCCACCCTCTGACGTCAGGTGCAGCCTCCTCCTTCACCCCATGGGGCAGTTCCCCCTCACTGTCAGGGAAGGCTCCAGATAGAAGCAGGAAGGCCGGCTGAGGAGGGCCGGCGTAGGAGAGCGTGAAGCCCCTCGGCCAGGCTCCGTCCTCGCACCACGTCCCTGGGGTGCCCGGCATTGCTAGGGAAGGACTGTTTTGTTTACTAGTATCTGGTGGTCACTCGAGGTGAAGTGAGTGGCAAGGTGAGCTTCGTGAGCACAGCAAGGCCAATGCCTAGGACGCAGAGCTGCACAGAGATGCTGCCATTCCCAACCTTCTCCGGGTTAGTGGGGTGCCCTTCCTCTGGCCCAGGCCCTTCACACTCTCAGAAGTTGAATGAGGTCCATCAGGAAAAACCCACACCCACTTGGATCACTGCTGTGCCGTCTATGGACGGGTGGGACCCTGAATTGGCCACAGAAGGGTGATGAGGCCAGGAAAGAGAACCAAGAACATATAAAGGTGGCAGTGGCTCCACTGGGCAGCAGGGAAGTCTGCACAGGAGAAGCCGTTTCCATCCCCCCTCCACATGGCCCAGGTTCACACCGTCTCCTCTTCTCAGGAAGAACAAAGCTTCCAAACCGGCCAGAAAGTAATCAATGGGTCATGGATTAAAGACTCTAAGGACAAACCTCATGAGAGTCAAATGTCAGTATTACATCAAGATATTCCCGTCAGACCCTGCGGACCAACGTCAGAATGAACTAATAAACACAGCATATGAAAGTTTTCTATCCTGACTCCAATCCTGGAAAGAGAAAGCAAAAACAAAGGGTGTTTTCATTTAACTTTCATCGAAATCCATCGGCTGCTGTGATGATTGCTGAGTGCTTAGGGACCGGGGACTCGGGTCGCCAAACCCAATCTTGGCCTTTAATTCACTCAGACTCAAGGCAAAAGAAACATGAAAACAAAAATTCTCTTTGCTCTAAATAGCTTTCCCTCCAAATGAGCTTTCTCTGCACTCCATTGCTCATGCAGACACATACCTACCTGGCCTCGTGTTTACAGAGCCCCAATTGTCTTCGCCTCTGTGCTGAGTAATTGGGAGTAATCTCATGATGCAGTCTCGCCTTCAGAGAAGCACACAAAGAGTCCGCCAGGCTCCTTGGAGGCAATAGGATCATTCACATTTTTAAGACAGTCCCTGCCTTCTGTGTTGCCTGGGATGTTCCCGTCCTGGGCCTGTCAGGTCAGCTGTCAGGCGTAGCTCTCCGCTCACATTTACAAGGTTGGAGAGTAGATGCTAATTAAATACAGTGTTTTTCAGCTAACTCCACTGAGTGGACTGAGAGATGGTATCACTGGGCCTTTGTCGTGCTTGGTCAAGTCCGGGACTCTGCTTTTCCTAGAACCCGGGAGGGCAGAGGAGGGGGTAAGTCATGTTTAAGGGTCTTCTGTTACTCCCACCGAGTTCCTCCTAAACCGTTTGTTTAAAGGAAAAAACCCAACTCCCCTCATCTCTGACATTTACTGCATTCTCCTAACCCTCCTCCCCCCCAGGCAGAAAGTGGGGCATAGTCACTTACAACTAGAATCAAAGAATGCAGCTCCTCAAGGGGCACCTTCTGGAAGCCGAAGTGCACTCCGAGTCTGCTGGGTGCCGGGCCTCCCCAGCGAGCCACCGGCACCTTCTCCTCGGCCGCCCAAGACAGCTCAAGTCGCTGCTCCCTTAGGGAGTGAGGAAGTTGAGGCCTGGGGCCCACGTGTCAGGCACAGGGAAGCACAGACCTGGGGACTGAGAGAAGAGGGAAGGGACCCTCCAGAGACCCATCGACGTCACCACAGCAAGGGCCCCACAGCAAGCAGCCAAAGGAGCACCAGGGACGACCGCCAGCGCAGGGTGGGGGCAGTGCCGGGACTGCTGGCCGCTGAGGCTCACCTCATCCCAGCCTGGGGGACGGGGGAGAGGGCAGCTGCCGCCCGACCAGGCCCCCGTGACAGAGAAGCAGCTTCGGAGGCCTGAGGACCTCAGGAGAGCAGAGAGCCAGCTGAGTGACCCTGCAGGCACACAGCCAGACCCGTCCCGCCATCCAGGGACAGGCCAGAGCTCACCAAGGTCTCAGAGTCCTGCTGCCCAGGGCCGACACCGTGCCGGGCAGCCGGGAGCGGGCCGGAGCCCACCTCTGCTCTGTCCTCCCTGTCCCCCCATCTTCTCCATCAGCTGCAGCCACTCTGGGCTGCTGCCGCCTGCTGTCCCTTTACATGTGTGGTTCCTTCTCCCTCTTGGACTTATTTGAGGGAGACAGATGGCCCCGGATGCTGATAAGGGCTTCTGTGCCCCAGGGACAGCACCGTGGAGCTACACCTGGATGGAAGCTGTGGAAACAGGAGCTGGGAGTGGAGCTGCCGGCTGAGAGGGCCCCAGGCACGTGGGGCCATCATGGTCCACCTGGTGTGGACACCGGTCATCTGAATAGAATCCTGGATCAGGTTTTCACAGACATCAAGTATCACTAGTGTTTCCCCATAATCAGACCAATCTCCGAGGGTGGTCTGGGGAGAGCCACTCTGATTCACCCCAGCACTCCGCGTCTTTTCACCCACTGACTGACTCACCCGCTCAGCAGACAGGTCAAGCACCTGCCATGGTGTGGATTAACTTACTCCGTGCACAAGGACCTCCGAAACACGATCTGTCTTTGAGGCATTTTTGACTATGTAGAAAGAAAATTTTAAATCCCATAAATGATTCTAATTCACTTTCAAAAGTGGTAAAACCCACAAGGGTTAGACAGATAAATGTATTAATTGTTGAAAGAAGCGGGAGATTATTTTAAATCTCGAATCAGAAGCTCAAGGTTCAATTCCTGTCTCACGAGAGTTGTCTAAAACCATCTCCCTCCAAACCTGAGATAACCCTGAACTAGGCTTGGCCTATGCTCTCCAAAGGACCCGGAAAATGCACTCTTGCCCACCCTCCCCAGCCCTGATGATCTGTCACTCACGCTGACCATTAATGGTTAGGGTGCTTAGGTCTGAGCCCACCAACAAATAGTCCAAGACACCTGCACACCCGTGGGGCTGGCGGGGTTCCAGCTGCCGAGGAGGAGGGAGTGTGGTGTAAACAACAGTCATGTGCCCTCAGGACAACCGGGGCTGAGGGCCACCCACCTCTCCTGCCCTCTCCATCACACCTCCCTGGCACAGAGCTAGATAAGACAGAGCTGGAGAGAGTGGAGCTAATCTTCTCTTTTATGAAGCTGAGACAAGTTCATAATGAAAATTGATGCTACAAAGCTTCCAGGCATGATCCCTTCTCATCCTCTCTTAAAACCTCCGTGAAACCGCTTGCTGCAAGTGAGAAATGTCTCTGTGCGAGTCTCTGGTCTCTTGGCCTCCTGACCCCTGGGGACTGGGATTTGGGTGGTACTTATCTTCGCATCTCCTCTACAAAACAGTGCTTGACACGTAGAAGGTTGGGCGGGAGCTTATGGAGAGGACGCGTGCCCTGGGCAGCCTGGTAGGTGTAGTGTGAGCCTCACGGCAAACCCTGTGGAGCACCCAGGACTGGACATCCACTTCTCATTTCGTGTCAGACAGTTCTTACAGAGATGGTCGGAGGGTTTTAGATTGATTCCCATTTCACAGACAAGCAGAAGGAGGCTGTGCACGGGAATAGCAGTAGCTGGCTTCCTGCTAGAAGCCAAGCTGCCTCCCTTTCTTAAGGACCCCAATGCGACTGGGCGAGGTCTCTTCTCATATAGAAACAGCCTAAGTCTGGTAGGTTAGAATAGGTTTGGGGGATGGCATGGAGGCCCTTGTTTAATTCCAGTTCAATGATTTTCCTTTATTGTACCATGGGAAATTGCTTTTATTTGTTAAGTCTCAGTCTACTCATCTCTGAAATGGGAATAGAGATACAGTATATAAAAGGTCATAGCTTAGTGCCTCATAGGAGGCAGGGAGTGGTTAAGATTGTATTCACCTTTATCTTGTCTCATAAGGGCATAATTTAAATTTTTACGTAGTTGTGTAGATCCCATTATAGCTAGCAATATGGTCAATACAAAATATGCAAATATGCTCTTGGTAAATGTTTAAGAAATTAGATTGAATTTAGAAAATATAGATAAAATAAAATAGAGTAAAATAAAATAAAATAGAATAAAATAAAATAAAAATAGAATAGAATATTTTATATTACTGAAAAGCTTAGTGCCTAACATTTATATATTTTGAATGTGTGCATTATAGTTCTGATTCAAAATCCACAGCACTCAAACTTTGGGGTTTTTTTTGTATGTGTCTTTGGGTTATTTGTGTATATTAAACTATTCTTAAGTGAGACCACAGAGTTTCATAGAAAGGGTTTTATACAATTTGAAGTTAGAGATGCATTTAAGTTTACCAAATTTCATTAACTCAAATAGGTCATTTATCATAAGATACATGTGTATAATTGATGTGAAATATGTTGCCAAGACACCCAGGCACAAATTGCCGATACCTCAACTGTGACATGAGTACTTTCCTCAGAGATGTTAAAAGGAGAGGAAATATGATCCAGTGGAACAAGTTATTTAACTAATATGATCTCCAATTTCTCCACCAGAAAATCAAGTCTGGCAATGACAACCAAGAGGATGTTGAAGGAATTACATGTAACAAGTATGTGAATGTCCTTTCCAAACTCTAGAACATACTGAAAATATTATTTATAGACAAAGGTCTTGTTTGATGAGACTAGATGGTGATAGGAGATATCTTTGGATCTCCTGATCTCTTTTACACCAAACATCATTTCTGAATATTGGTTTCTGCTGCTGGATATTCTTGTTGATTGTTTATCTGATGACCTGACCTGAAAATAACGTTTTGTATTCTTATCACTGTGTGATGACATGTGACAGATCATGACAGATTCCCTGAATTTTTATTACTTTGTCTTAGAAGATGACTGACTTCTCAAAGCTTTTTTTTAACCTATTTAACTTTGAATTGTTTTGGTGATTTTTAAATCACAGAAGTAAAGATATAATAGTTGCTCAAGAAAAATTTTACAACCCTTTAAGGTTATTCACATAAAAGAATTGACATTAGATTTCAACCAAATCTAGGAAAAAAAAGGAAAGAAAAGAAAAGAAAAACAAAGAAAGCCAAGAGCATGAAAAATAAAATCAGAATCACCAGGTTGGGAAAGTGCTGAACCATTTAGATAACAAACCTAAGATAGGTCCATTTAACTTTGAATCGGGGGACTGAGAAGAGGGAAAGGCTCCCTGGGATTCCTGTAACATTGAGCGTCAGGTGACTTGTCCGAGGGGCTGTCCACCATGTGAATGAAGACGTCACTTGCCGCCCACATTGGCTCCTGGGCTTTTGCCGACACCCATTGCTGCAACCAGCAGCAGTGCCAGGAAAGAGCGGGACTGGCCTGTGAGTGCCTCCCGCACCTCGGATCTGGCCACTCCCCTCCTGCTCGCTGGAGGAAAGCACCTTTCTCTGAAATGCATCATCTGTGGTAAGGTCGGGTGAGTAACCAAGGTCAGATGTGCTGCTGGCTACAAAAGGCATGCAGCACAGGAGAGTGGCAGAGCATGGCACTGACAAGTCACTGAGGATTTTTGAAACGTGGGATGCGGTGGCCCCTGGCCTGTCCTATCGGGTGCTCGGGTTGTTCCAGGACTATCTCTAAGATGTCTCAGTCAGCCCAGGGACTGCGTCCACACATCCCCCATCCTTGAACCTTTGACTAGGGTGTGTCACCAACTGACATCTTCTCCCCTACTTCACCTTGTTGAAATCCTAGAGGAGCTTCAGGTTGCAGTTCCATTTCCCCTTCAGACAAAAACCTCTCCGGTCCAAGCCAAGCCGCGTCGCCTGTGAACTTCCCAACTGACACCCCCCCACAACTTCCCTGAGCGCCGCTCCAGTTACCAGGGATTCAGATTCGGTTTCCCTTGTGCACTTGAAGTTCAGTTGTGCTCACATTTGCAGTCCCAGAGCTCAAGCACAGAATTGCTCAATAACTATGGTTAACTCTGGTTTTGGATAATAGAGAAAAACACCTTTTGTAATCAGCATGAGGAAAGAGACAAAAAATTAATATAAAAATGATAGTTTTCACAGAAAAGAATGTTCATAAGGTGGCTACCTTCCCTTGCCCAACTCCTGCCCTGTTAAAGTCAACCATGGCTTCATTTCCACTAGAGAAAAAAAAATCTATATCTATATGATATTCTCACTTATTCAGATATGGATATCTGAATCCTAATGTCTATATCTAAATCCTAATAAGTGAGAATGATATTATAAAAGAGAAATCATTGAATCTTCAACCCTGATACCCTTTGCCACTGTTGATGAGAGGCTTCTTCGTTTGGGCCTGTGGGTGCACTGTAGGATATTAGCCCCCTCTCTGGTCTCTGAAATTCCAGTGCAATCATAAAATCATGATTATCAGAAATGTCTCCGGACATTCCCAGAACTACACCAAGAAATGGGAGGTCTCCCCAGCTTCAGAAAGCCTCCTCAGGGACCCTCCTAGCTGTGCTCCTTCAACCCGGACACTGAGACTCTCAACACAGTAGAGACGAAGAGACGGAGACTAACTGGGTGACCTCAGAGGTAGGGTAAACCCAGAGGAGCTCAGTGTGTCTCCAAGGCAGATGAGTAGTGCAAGAGCAACACTTCTGAAACGCAGATGTGGCATGGGACCTTGCTGTCACAACTCTCCGGAGCTTCCCACACGGGCAAGACAATGCCACCGAGTCCTTGGCACGACTCACAGTGTCT